CAGGTGGGAAGATAGACAGGTAGGTAGGTACAAGCAGGATGTGGGCAGACAGGAATGAGACCAGAACAGGTGACAAGAAGACAAGATAGCTTGCAGGAGGCCTCAGAGCCTTTCTTTGTCCATATCAGGAATAGATAAGCTTCTTGAGATGTAAGTAGGTCCCAGTTTTGGACATCAATATGATACATGCGATGGGGATGAGAACCCCCAGAAGGGATCCAACAAGAGCTCAGAGGAGGATCAGGGCAGGCCATAGCCTTCACCTTGTTCACCTTCAGCTTGTTCATGGCAAATTATTTTCCAGTGCAGTTCCTGAGCCAGGTAGGGACAGTGAAGTGAGAAGTGGCCACGGATCTGGTTTTGAGCTGGGCCTTCAGGGCCCTCCTTCATGTCACTCAATATCCAACCCCATCTCCCTTATAGGTCACTCATGCCTCTGCCCCAACCTATGTTCAGATTCATTCTGAACTTCAACAAAACTCACCTATGCTCTGGGGCTGTCCCTGAGCCCACTTCTGTTCTAAGCTGACTTGAAATCTCTGCTAGACAAGCCAGTGCTCCATGGCATAGAGTCCAACCACATCAGTCACCTAAAGAGTTGATCATTGACTTATTATCTCCTTCCATAATTTCTGATTCCCTAGAGTGAAGGTCAGAGGTCAGGTTCTACAGGGGGAGGAGTAGGTCACACTGTCAACTGCTGAAAGTCTAGGGAGACACAGGAACTATTGATAAGTTCTCAAAGAGGGAGAAGAATATTAACAGAAAATAATGCTCCCAGGAGAAGACAAGAAGGGTAGGGACCCTGTAGCCACCTTCCTTCCTCTGTCTGTAGAATCATCTGTACCCTGGACATTGAGGCTCCTGCTTCCCTATCCTCTTAGTCCACCAGCAGCTATAACTGCTTCCACTTCTGAAGTTTCCTTTCTGGCATCCTGGAGTCTCCTCACTTGGACTTTCTGATGTTCCCGCCTTCCCTTCCCACACTGAAGCTGCAGTCCAATCACACTTCTCTTTAATTTAATTTAATTTTTATCTAATTTAATTTTTGCCTTCCCATCACGCTCTTTAATTTTGGCTTCATTCATGATAAATAGTATGCACTGCCTCAAGAGAGATGAAGAGACAAAGAGAGAGATGAAGAGATGACTACCCTCCATAGCCAGACTCCCTGCTCCTCATCCCAGGAGGGACGAAGTACAAGTTCCCCAGCTTCCATCAAACACCTGTGGGCTATGCCTCACGCACCTCTGACCTGCCCAGCCCCACCTTCTTGCTCAGCTCATGTGGAGAACACAGAAGATGTCCTCTTCCCACCTCTTCCTGACCTTCCTCAAGGCTAGTCTAATACCCAGCTGGCTTTCACCCTCTGCCAGCTCTCCCTTCCTAACCTGAGTATAGTCCTGTGTTTTCAAACACATTTCTATTCTGTCTCTGAAGTCTTGGAGGTAGAGACAGTTTCCTCCATCTTCATTCATATATCTTAGCACAGGACTTGGCTCAGAGAACCCACTTGTAAAATATGTTTGTACTTGAATTAGGTTAATCGAATTAGAAAAAAAAAAAAGAATTGAACACACTTAAAGTCATTATCAGGGCTGAGTTCACAATGGAGCCCCTGTGCTCTCCTGGCCTCTAGTGGCAGCAATATGAACTGCAGACAGTGTCCAGGACAAGTACTTAGCCTTGGAGAAACCAAGTCCTAGAAAGCCATCTTCTACAACAGACACACAATTTTGTAAAGCTAGCTCTGAAAAGTTTATCCAAAAGTTAAAGAATTCACAAAATTATTGGTTCAGAGATCCTGAGTTGTAACTCAGTCGTAACTCCTACAAATTAACAGTAATTTGCAGGCCACTTGATGAGTTCTGCAGCCTTGGAAGATTTTTGCAGCAGCTGTTTGGAGAAATAAACTCCAAAACATACAGCTAGTGATTTTTTAACAGAAGGCACAAGACAATCCAGTGGAGAAAAGAGTTTTTTCAGCAAACGGTGCTGGAAGAACTGAATTTTCGCCCACAGAAAAGTTAAATTGGACCCCAGTCTCTCACCACTAACAAAAATCAACTCAAAATGGAGCAAAGATCTAAATATAAAGCCTCAAAACAGAATACTACGTGTGTGAAACACTAGAAGACATTCAGGTAGCCAAAGATCTCTTAAATCAGACCCCAAAAGAGCAGGAACAACTCCAAAAATAGACAAATGGGATTACATAAAATGAAAAAGCTTCTGCACAGCAAAGGAGACAATAAAGAGAGTGAAGAGACACCCCACAGAATGGGAGAAAATATTTGCAAACTATGCTTCAGTTAAGAGATTGATAACCAGAATACATACATTACTGAACTAACTAAAGCAAACAAGCAAAACCCTAGTGATGCAATTAAAATTTGGGGAAATTAACTGAAAAGATGAATGGCCAAAAAGCATATGAAAAAATGTTCAATGTATCTTATCATAGGGAAATGCAAATTAAAACCACAATTAGGTATCACTTAATTCCGGTCAGAATGGGTATGATCAATATTAAAAAATAATAATAATAATAATGACAAGTTCTGGTGAGACTGTTGAAAAGTGAATCCTGCTGCACTATTGATGGGAACATGAATTAGAACAGCCACCATGGAAACAGTATGGAGTTTCCTCAAAATTTTACGAATACAACTTCCATACGACCCAGCAATTCCAGTTCAATCTCACATGCACATCCACATTTATTGCAGCATTATTTGCATTTCCTAAGATATGAAATCAACCTAAGGACCCAATAACTGATGACTGCATTGGAAAAGTGTGTCATATGTTCACTAGGGAATAGTACTTGGCCACAAACAATAGCAAGACTGTCATTTGACATGAAGTGGATGAATATAGAAGATTTAATGCTAAGTGAAATGAGCCAGACTCTGAAAGATGAACATTATATATTCCTGCTCAATATATACTGAACATCTGCATTCTATAGTAGACATTGAAGTATTCCTTTTTTTCTTTTTCTTTCTTATTTTTTTTTATTTTGAGAGGTTTTTGCTATAGGGCGCGTGCACTTGCCAGAAAGACAGAGAGAGACAGAGAGACAAAAAGCGAGAAATCACCCCTGAAGGGGGATGGCCACGCCGCAATCCCTTCTCCTCTATTCTCCTCTCAGGATCCTGGGCACGCACGGACACGCACCCGGCGTGAGTTTAAGCCGCCAGGTCCAGGACTCAAACCGCGGTCGGCTACATGGGAGTCCAGCGACATAGCCATTACGCTAACTGCTAGTCCAAAGTAGATATTGATGTATTCTAAGGCATAATAGTAAGAGAGGTCAAATGCAGATACTAACAACTGTCTGGGTTGGGGGGGTAGTGAGGAATACATGAGAGGGACTCAGAAAAAAAAGCAATTAACAGACACGAGAATGTAAGGTCCTTTATTGCAAATAATGTATATGATAATATCCTTGATTAAATTTGTGCACACTACATGCATGTTTTAAAAAACTATATTTATGCCATAAAGATATACGATTAAAGGTAAATAAGAAAATATAAAGTAAAAAATAAGAAAATATAAAGTAAAAAATTGGGGGTAAAAAGCAGAAAACAAAACTATAGAACTATATGTAAGGAACGAGCTGAATCCTCAGAAAGACTGAATGAGAGTATCAAAATTTATTAATAAGTAAATACCTTTCCCTTTCATTTGGCGTTCAGACACTTTAACCCATGACCCCTAGTATAGGCATTCTATATTCTTTTGCTTGGAAAAGCAAGGCAGAGAGGACTGTGCCCATTGACGTCAAATAAGCACTTACAGGTTATATGAAAGAGTGAGGGAGAGAAGTTTTGGAAGGTGACTAGACTAAGTTCTGTTTTGGTGATATATATTTGGAAAAGAAAATTGATATTTTGTTGTTGATTCTTCCTGGTTCGGTGCCTAGGCAATACAAAGGCAGAGGAGGGGATGATGGGTCATGGAGGCAGCTTGAAGCAGCTGCTCTGCAGATAGATCACTGCAGGCACTTGTTTTCTGTTGGATAGGTTCAATGTGATTTTACATATCTCATTCACCTTTCCTGTTCTGAAAAGACTATGTCTCCCACAAACAAACCTTTAGAACCTAAACATTTGCTTGCTTTCTCCATCTGAGGGAAGGCACAGAAATATCATGTTTATTTTTGTCTGGAGACATCGTATATCAATGCTTCTTAAAAGGCAACGGTCACTGAAGGAAGTGAGGTTTTTCTGCCCAGCAACTTGTACAGGGCCAGCATGCAATAGCCTCAAAAATTGTCTCCTTTACATTTGGAGCATGCGTTACCTTTGCAGAGCACAATCACAGCTATGCCTCAACAGCCCAAGTATTAACTTTATTTTACCAACAGAACAGTAAGAACTGGAGATGTTCATTGAATCATAAAGCAAGTATGTGTCAGTGTCAGGACTTTGATCTCAAATTTCTTGCTCTCAGTTATGCTCATCTCTGGTTCCCATTGATTTAGTATAATACTTGTGATGGGCCGGGCAAGCAGCAAGTGCCTTTACGTGTTACCTTCCACCATCCTTACAATACTGTTACAGAGCACTCACCCCACCCCAGCTCCAGATGATCTCTGAAGCTTCATCTCAGACACCACAGGGCTGCTCCTGGAAGACACCACAATTCTTTCCCTCTGAGCCTTTGAATGATACTCCTTTTATCACGAAGCCCTTACCTATGACTTTACTACCAGAAGCAAGAAGGACACTGGTAGTCCCTGACATGACGTGCAATGGAGATAAGCAACATGTCACTATAGATCACAACTAATAAAACACCTTGTGAAAGCCAACCTTGCCAAAGGCAATCTGGGTGACATGTATTTAATACCTGACATTTCAGGCAAATTAAGGAGTATATTGAGATTGGCTGATTTCTCATAACTGCCTAACAAAGAGTGGGAAAAAAAAAAGATGAGATCAGGTATTCAAATTCTCAGTTTAAAGTATATATTCACCTTAAAGTTTTAGTTCACTAAGGATGTGGCAGTTTATTACAGCAGCAATGGCAGCTCATACAGGAACAGAAAAGCACGTAGAAAGGCAAGGTGGAGGGGCAGATGGGCTGGAGGGCAAGCACTGATTCAGGAGGGAGGTGACAGGCAGGGACACAGGCAGGGAGGGTTCATGGGACAAGCCGGTGGGAATTCTGGAGAAAGGTGAGAGAGAGAAGGACAGACAGACTAGAGGCAGGAGAGCGGGCAGGTGGGGATATGAACAACTGGGTGGCAACAGGCAGGATGTGGGCAGACAGGCATGGGACTAGAGCAGGTGACAAGAAGATAGCACAGCCATTAGGCCTCAGAGACTTTCCTCGTTCCCATCAGGGATAGATGAGCTTCTTGAGACGCAAGTGGATCCCAGTGCTGGACATCAACACAACCTTTGACATTGGGTTGGGGACCCTAGAAGGATCCGGCAGCAGCTCAAAGCGGAGCAGAGTCAGGGCCACAGCCACCTTTATCTCGTTCATGGCAAATTGTTTTCCAATGCAGTTCCTGTGCAAGGCAGAGACAGTGAAGTGAGAAATGGCCGCAAACCTGGTTCTGAGCTGGAATTTCAGGGCCCTCCTTCACGTGGCCAACGCACAGCCCCTTCCTCCTTACAGGTTACTCACACCGAGGCCCTTGCTCTGGTTCACAGACTTCCTGACCTTCAGCAAAACCCACTTATGTCCCAGGGCTTTCCCTGACCCCACTTGTGCTCTCAGCAGGCCTGAAATCTCTGTTAGACAAACTAGCTCATCAAAACATAGAGTCGAACTCCATCAATCACCTAAAGCATTGACCATTGGTTTCTTCTCTCCTTTCATAATTTCTAATTCCCCAATGTGAAGACCAGGTGTCAGGTTGTATGGGGGTAAGTGGGTCACACCCTCAACTGCTCACTGTCTAGGCAGACACAGAAACTAAGTCCTCAGAGAGGAAGCAGAGTATTGGCAGGCAGTACCCAAAAGTGTGCTAGGTAGATAGGGGCCCAGTAGCCACCTCCCCTTCTCGGTCTATAGAACCATCTCTGTCCTGGTTATCAAGCTTCCTGGTTATCAAGCTTCCTGCTTCCTGCTCCCTCTCTTCCATCAGCTTCTGTAGCTTTATAATTTCACTCCAAAATGTTCTTCCTGCTATCCCATGGTTTCCTCACCTGGACTTTCTGGTGTCCCCGCCTCCCCCTCCCCACACTGAAGCTGCATTACAACTGACACCCCACCATGTTTTTTCTTTTAATTTAATTTTTGTCTTTATTGATGATAAAAGTGTGCATGGCCATGTGAGAGAGAGAAGTGAATCAGAAACAAGCACACTCCACAGTCAGACAGCTCTTTATCCCAGCGTCCAAGTGCCCAGCTACCATCAAACCTCTGTGGGCTGTGCCTCCCCACCTCTGACCTGCCCAGACCCACCTTGCTGCTCAGCTCATGTGGAGAACACAGAGAACATCCTCCTCCCATCTCTGCCCAGCCCTGCTCAAGGCTAAATCTAATGCCCAGCTGGCCCTCAGCCCTCTGCTGGCTGCAAGACAGAGCCAGGGACGTACAACATTCAGAATCTGCTCAGCCAAAGAGTGAGAGAGTGGACAGACAGATGAGCGATTCGTGTCTGCCCTGAGTACTGGCCTGTGTTTCTACAAGCACATTTCTGTGCTGTCTCTGAGGTCTTGCAGGCAAAGATAATTTCCTCCATCTCTGTTCATGTATTTTAGCAAGGGCTTGGCTCAGAGAACTCACTAGTTAAATAACTTTTGCAAATGAATTGAATTCACTGAATTGGAGGGGGGAAAAAAACCAGAATGAAGCACACTGGAAGTCAGTATCAGGCTGAGCTCACGAGAGCCCCTGTGCTCTCCTGATCTCTAGTGGCAGCAACCTACCTTCAGACAGCAGCCAGGACAGGTACTCGGCCTGGGAGAAACCAATCCTAGACAGCCACTTTCTAGACAATTTGCTTAAAGCCTTTTCTATGTAAATCGATTCAACAGTTAAAGCATCCACAGAATTGATTTAGAGAAACAGTATTAACTAACTCCTTACAAATGTGTGGTAATCTGCAGTCCACTTCACAGTTTCTGCAGCCTTTGAGGATGTTCACAGTTGCCACTTTGTGTACTTGTCCCGCTCAACAGCCATTTTTTAAAACAATTATTTTATTTAATTTTATTCATTATTGTTATTCTTTAATTTGACCAGAGAGAGAGGTGAAAAGTAAGCAAACAAGCTGCCAGATCCAGGACTCAAACCACGGTCAGCCATGTGGTAACCGAGTGCCTTGAACACTACTCCACCTGACCATTTTAAGTACGTTTTCTTTTTTTCTTTCTTTCTTTCTTTTTTTTTTTTTTTTTACAGGGCTCAACAGCAAATTTATTTTATTAATTTTATTTTTTAATGTTTTTATTTTACTTTATTTTATACATTCAATCACATTAACTAGCTTACAAAATGAATATTCCAACATGTGAACATTTCTCCCTAGTTCAGTTGATAAAAGTATAAAGTTATCTTCAAGGACAGAAGCTTTTCAAATGCTATTCATGTACTAAATAGGGGGTTTTCTCTCAAAGTAAGTTCATTGTCTTCAGTTTTCTGCTTTAGCCAACATTGGACTAAGTAAACTCTAAGTGTCATTTCAAGGCATGTAGATAGTACTTCAGATGTAAAGTGTTGACAGCTGGAAAAGCTGTAATAAGAATGTGAACATTTTCACAATCAAAAATTGTGTCAAGACAAACTGCAAATATAGAGATGACACAGGCGGTGTAAAACCTTAAAGGGCTGCTGCACCCTTACAATATATGACTGGATTGTCAGGACAGACAAGGCTTCTAGGAAACAGTCACCTGCCCACATAACATTTGCTTCAGTTATTCAGGGAGCAGTGAATGGTACAAACAAGTGGTGAGAGGCATTGAGGCTGTGTGAGGAGAGAGGAATTAATCCTACCGATTCCTGTCAGTTCAAAAGGACAAAATCTAAAGTTTAACTTGTGCCAAAAAATCTAATTCTAATAATCACCATTACATTTCTAAAAGGAGGAAAACATAAGAATGCACTGAATTTGGAACAGTTGCTGACAGTGAGTGTTTGCAGCCAGTGGATGAACCATGAGTCAAGGTCTTCATGGTGAGCTATGAGTCAATGTCTCCACAGTGTGCCCTGAAGTGCCACTCTTTGTATGCACAAAAACACCCACAAGAACCCTCCTTCAAAACCATCAACATACAAGGGTATAACTGAAAATGCCACCAATTAACATGGGGAATTGAGGGACTGGCAGGTGAAATGGTAATTAGAATGCTGGACTCCCACATGGTCAACCACGGTTCAAGTTCTGGACCCGGAGGTTTGTTTTGTCACTTTCCCTCTCACTCTTTCTCTCCTTCTTTCTCTCTCTGGTCAAATTAAAAAAATAATAGTAATAAATAAAATTAAATAAATAATTTTTAAATGAGAAGCTTCATATACTCAGGAATGTTACAGTTGTCACTCCCAGTCCCACCCCTACATACACAACATCTCACCTGGACCCTGCTGAGAAGGGCAGGAAAGCGTGACTATGTCGAGTAGAACCTGGTGCAAAGCGGGAAGGGTCGAACACCTATGGAGAGAGCACCAGGGACAAGAGAAGTAGGGGTCAACCTATTTTCGCATCTCATGAGAGAAAGGACAACGAGAGATGCGAGTAGGTGAAGGAGCTGGACCTGAGAGATCTTCCCCCACCCTCCTCCTGGGCCTTCATACCTCTGGGTTTGGCCACACCTCCGGGTTGTGGTGAAGGGCATAAAAGGACAGTGAGACCGTGATACCTGTGGGACAGACAAGAGACAGAATGATCGTACCTAAGGGGTGGGGACCTGATCTCTCAGCCAGCATGGGCCTGCACAAAGGTGTGGGTGCCAAAATCATTGTTTTTAATAATGATCTTGTTGTAAGAGAGGTGGGGTGGGCTTGGAAAACCTGTGAGCCCAGGTGAGTGACAGAATTCCACGGCCCCTTGAATGAGAGTTAGAAAACATCAGAAGCTTCCAGTTTGTAGTAGCTCCAGTGACAACTATGTTTATACATTACTTCCCAAGGGCTGCTGGGGAGTGCATATGAATACATTCAGTTCTCAGAACAATCCCTCATGGTAAGAATTTTTGTATCTTCATTTTTTCAGATGAGGCATTTGAGGCTCAGAAAAGGTGAACTGACTTCCTCATTACCTCACAGCTAGTGTGGACTTAGTTGGGATGAGACCCAATGGCGGGTGAGCCAACAGATGGCCTCCAACTATGACAAGGGTCACAAATCTAGTCAACAGCTTTCTGCCATCACCCTGAGGGCTCCTCAAGGTGATGGACCACATTGGACCTATGACACTGCATTCCTGATCTCTCTCATTTGCCTCCACTCTACTTCTGTCAGAATCTATCTCTAGTGCTCCATGTCTCAGGGAATGAAAATCGTAGGGCTGATATCTCAAGGCCACATCCACAGCTACAGATCTGAATGTCCATGTGGGGAGCATTGCAAGGACTGGGTCATCGTGACATTAACTGACAGGTGTACCATTTTTCATTTATTACAACCGAGTTATCCACCACCATGTCAAACATGAAAGATGTTAAAAAGTATAACAATTAAGTCAGAAGTGGCCTCTGAGCTCTATAATTTTTAACTCAGAAATTGAAGCCTACAGTGTTAGAATGAAAGAGTAATAGTGCCACCAAAATGAGGTACTATAAAAACCTATTGTAGGGAACCAGCAGTTAGCGTAATTGAAGCCTACAGTGTTAGAATGAAAGAGTAATAGTGCCACCAAAATGAGGTACTATAAAACCTATTGTAAATCTTTACTGCTAAGCAAAGCAAGCCAGACTGTGAAAGAGAGGCATTGTATGTCTCCACTTAATCTATAACTAATGTCTGCACTCCATGGAAGAAACTGAAATATTGGACAGTATGAAAGCATGAAGAGGAACTGTGGATACAAGAGACAGTGTGGGGAGGGTGGGAAACAGGGGAGGGGTGGAAGGGAGGGAATCAAGGGGGAGTAAAACAAAGTAAAATATATAAGAAACACAATAATAAATAAATAAATATTTTAAAAGAATATTAATACAAAAAAAACCTATTGTAAGATAAATTCTAAAGAGGATAAAGTATTAGCTTCAAAAAATGATGCAAGTTTAGAATTCTATTAGTGAAATTACAATTATTCAAAGAGATCTTACCAGTCACTTAGGCCAACATTCCCAAATGGGAATTGTTCTTGAAGCATAGGATGGTAAATTATTATTTATTGGATACTAAATGTGGTCCTGCCCTGTGCCAGGCATTTCATTCACCGCAACCTAACCATCAAGTACATATCACTGTTACCAAACAAGAAAGACAGGATCAGAAAGGTTCTGAATCGCTGAAGCACACCTGGATTTCCAACTCACCATCTGTCACTGTAGACTATGTAGGTTAGTGAGGGTCAGGGAGCTCATACCTTTGGGTAAGGAGCGCCCATCAGGGAAGGTTATGGGTTTGCTGAGGTCTCTGCTAACACCAGGTACTGGAGGGTAGAGTCTCAGGGCCTCCTTGATGCACATGGTGGTGTAGGACATCTGGTCCAGGTGGTCCCTGAAAGGAGTCCATCATGAGACTATGCAGGGTCCGGATAGGCTGGAAGCTTACCCATAACATAGTCAGCAGGGCTCCCCCATGACCCAAACACTCGCTCACCAGGAGATGGAGGTGCCATCCCCAAGGAGGCTCTGGATTTCCTCCCGGCACCTCTGCTGATGCTCAGGGTGAGTGGCCAGAGCATAGAGGACCCAGGAGATGCCACTGGCTGTGGTGTCATGGCCCTCGAACATGAACGTGTCCACTTCATCGCGAAGGTCCTGGTCAGACAAGCTGCTCCCACGTTCTGCCTGCGGGAGCCATGGGGAGAATGCAGGGCCTATCCTTTATATGTGCTTCTGGACACAGCCTCAGACCTGTCCTCCGCAAACTCACTTGGGCCAGAAGGAGGATATCCAGGAAGTCCAAGTGCTTCCTCCCCCTGACCTTCTCCAGCTCTTCATCATTCTGTAGGTGAGCTTTCCTCAGCCGGATCACTCTGTCTGTGACACAAACACTGCAATAACTCAAATCCCTCCCTCTGCACCAAGGAACTCCCCAGCCTGAGCTTGGTCAGGACCTTCTGGGGCTCCAGGGGCCCTGCCTCTGCCTAACAGATAGGGTCAATTTTATGGGGCTAGTAAGGGATGGAACAGGAGTCAGAGACAGGACCTGTGTGCTGATGAGCAATCTGGGAGGTGCGGTGGGTCCTGCGGCCATCAGGAGTCAGCCAGTAGATGATGTCATTCTGGTGAAAGGCACTTCTCACACGAGAAAACAACAGGTTTTTCATGTCTCCAATGGCCTGAATGTAGGACTGGGAATTTCTGAGAGAAGATGCAGAAGTGACCATCATAAAGGGGGTGCCCCTTACAAGCAGAGAGGGGTTTTGGGAGGAAATCCCCTCAAAGCATAGGTACAGGCCACACCAAGTCACCTGGCACTTCTCTTTTATAACATTAATGACCTTCGGGCCTTTGCCAGGTGGCATGAGCACCCACATTCTCCCATGCTCAGGTCAGGGATCCATGGATGTAGGAGAGAGAGCCTAGTATAGCCTGGAATCAGAGCTTGCCCAGGGTAGGGTGGAATACTGATTCATGTGGAGGTGAATATGTGAGCTCCTCTACCTGCATCTCACATATGTCCTCAGCAGGTGGTGAGAACAAGGATCCACAGCTGAGGGACGATCACTGACCTATTCAGTTGGCCACTGCCCTGATGACTGAAGGCGCACTTCATCAGGGTGTCCAGGGTCATCACAGACATGTGTTGAAAGATCTCCAGAGGAGTGTCGTGGTCAGTGAGGTTCTCCCATTTGTCCTTGGTAAACAGAGGAAGATATTGACTTTCTCCATTCCTGACAAAGTTCTGTGCTAGTAAGGTCAGGCTCTTCGCTTTCTCTAAATGAGCTGATGGGATATCCTCAATTTGTAAAGCACAGCAAGGCTCTAAAGCAAGTGTTTGTAAAGCAATACCTATTTCTTCACATAGTCTTTTTTTTTAATTTTTACAAAATCAAAATTGTCATCTCGTGTTCTGCATTTACTTTCAATTTAGAGACAAGATGTGATAATCAGCACCTTTTGGCTCACCAGAACATTGTTTTCCAGAGGACAAAGAAAGGCATAATTGAAGTCCTGATTACTAAGCTACCCATGATAGACAGGTGGTAAATATGTTCAGGCAAATGATGTTTATGGGGCCAGTATGAGGGCTACTAAAGAGGTACATCAGGAACATTAATTCTCTGTTCTTTATTTTTTTAGCACTTTTCATTTCCTTTTTTATTTATTTATTTTTATTTACATTTTTTAATACATTCAATCAAATTATTTAGCTGACAAGGTGATCGTTTCAATATGTGAACATTTTTCCCTGGTCGAGTTGATCAAACAACACTACCTCCCTGTCTCAACAATGCTGTCTTCGTATCCCTCCTCCAAATGTTTTTGTGCAGCTTAGTTGAGTGGACTCGAGATCAGAGAACTCCTGGGCAGCAATTGTATGGCAAAAGTTGGCATGAGGTATACACACTTGGTATCCACTTCACTCCATAGAGTGGCTAAAATCCATGCAGATCCTCACTGAGTAACATCCTGGTTTCCCCCTCACCAGTGAACCTGCCACTTCCCAGGGGAATCATGTTCCTCCAATGGACTCTTATCAGTAGTAGAGACATCGGGTCCTCTGCCTGAAAGTTTCCTGGCATAGGGGCTTATTGAATCATCACCAATGTGATAACGCATGTATGTAATGACACCTGTGAAAAGGAGTTTGCCCGCTCTTCGTGTTCTAAGTCTGGAAAGCCAGAATACGGGGCCACATTTGCTAGTGTGTGTACATTTGCAGATGTGCATGTCTGTCTGGCACTTCTTTGGGTGTCTGGACATGTGTGTATGTGCCAGTGATGTGTCTGCAGTGAACACAGTGTGCCTGGATGAGTGGATTACACAGAGTGGTGAAAGCAGGTGGATGTGTCTGTGAGAGCAAATGTGTCCTAACAGAGAAAAGTGTATAAACCCTTGACAATGGGCACGTGGTCTTCAGAGGTATGCTGTGCATGTCTGGGGCTGAAAGTACTAGTCCATGCAGTGTCTGATGGCTGTCCTAGGGGCACAGGTGTTTGGGTGGAATCAGAGTGTGTGCTGTGTGTGGGTGCATGGAGCTGAGAGAGACTGACTTACCAGCATCACTTGGACGGAGTCTGCCATGAACCTCACGTAGGGCTTGAGGATGCCATAGTGGAAGGCTGGGGTCAGCATCCTGCGGCGTTGGAACCATGCCTGCCCTTCCAACAGGAGCAAACCATGCCCTGGGCCAGAGATGGGTGTGAGTATGTGTGTCAGGGAGATGGGATCAGAGGGAAGATGGGATAATATGGGAGGGATGGGGGCAGATATTTTGGAGGAGAAAACTCGGGAGGCCGAATTTTGGGGGGAAAGCCAGGAAAGTCACAGCACAGTTCATGAATGTGGATTTCTCCAACAAGCTAGTACATCTAAGTGATTATGACAGCTGTGAGATAATGGTAGAAAAGAGTTAGGGCAGGTCAGGGGGAGACTTCAGTAACTGGCCAAGGTGCTTGGAGACAACTGAGAAGAGATATGGAAAGGAGCTGAGCTCAGTGGACTCACTCCATCTGTAGGAAGGGAAGCAGGTCTTTTTTTCAAGAAGAGAAATGAGGCAGGATTGAGGGATGGGATCATGACAGTGGCCTAGCACCTATTGTTCTTTGGGAGACAAAGAGATAGCACTTGACAAAATTAACCAGCAAGAAGACTGCAGTCGTGGTTTAGACATACATACCAATCCACGGAGTCAGGAATCTGTAGCCATCATGTTCCTTTGGGTCTGGAAGTTGAGGAAAGACATTAGCAGGAAACTGGGTGACCAAATAAGGCAGCCCCTGCTGAGCTATGTTTCAGCTATCTGGTGCTATCACTTCTTAAGTTCTGTCAGTTAGCAGTTTGTCCCAAGTCAAACTTGCATCCCATTCCCTTCTCTCTCTATCTTGAAGTTCAGTGTCAGCTCAGGAAGGCAGACTGAGTTTATCAGTATCAAAAACTCATAGGATTGGGACTAGCGAATGGTGTAGTGGTTACATCATAGGACTCCCATGTAGTTGAACATGACTTGAATCCTGGACCTGGAGGCTTAAACTCATGCTAGGCATGTGTGCCTGTGTGCCCAAAATCCAGAGAGAAGAATGGAAAGAAAGGGATTTTAGCAAAAATCTGTCTCTAAAAATAATTAATTAAAATAACTCATAGGACCAAGATGGTGAGTTAGAAGAAAATGTAGGCAGTGGGGACCAGCAATTGGCATAATGGCTATGTCACTGGCCTCCCATGTAGTTGACTATCGTTCGAGTCCCAGACCTGGTGGCTTAAACTCATGCTGGGTGCATGTGCATGCATGCCCAAGATCCCGAAAGGAGAATGGAATAGAAGGGATTACAACATGGCCATCCCACCACCACCACCCCAAGGGTGATTTCTCACTTTCTGTCTCTCTGTCTTTCTGGCAAGTGTATGTGCACTATAACAAAAATCTCTCCAAAAAAAAGAAGAAGAAAGAGAAGAGAAGAGAAGAGAAAAGGAGAAGAGAAGAGAAGAGAAGAGAAGAGAAGAGAAGAGAAGAGAAGAGAAGAGAAGAGAAGAGAAGAGAAGAGAAGAGAAGAGAAGAGAAGAGAAGAGAAGAGAAGAGAAGAGAAGAGAAGAGAAGAGAAGAGAAGAGAAGAGAAGAGAAGAGAAGAGAAGAGAAGAGAAGAGAAGAGAAGAGAAGAGAAGAGAAGAGAAGAGAAGAGAAGAGAAGAGAAGAGAAGAGAAGAGAAGAGAAGAGAAGAGAAGAGAAGAGAAAAAGAAAAGAGAAAAGAAAAGAAAAGAAAAGAAAAGAAAAAAAGAAAATGTAGGCTGTGTCATAAATGTTAAAGAAGAAGACAGAGCCTTTGGATATTCTACAGATGGCTATGGCTTTGCTATTCCCCGACCAAGAACAGGCAATAATTTGCTTATGAAACTTATTGTGAATGAAAATTCACGTTTGAGACAATTTATGTAACAAGTAACCTCAATTTGTTTTTAAAAATGAAAAGCAAAAAGAGAAAAATGAGATAAAGTATTTGGCCCCACACCCGTCTTTTCCTAACATTCAGTACTCAGTGAATATCATTGGCGTTATGCTAGATTATGGGCTTGGTAGATGATTGGCCATGGGTATGGACACTGATGTTTGCCAGTTTCTTCTGCAATTCCACAGACCTAGGGCATATTCTCAAGAGGGATGAGGTGCTCCAGCTGGGATGTGGGTCTCAGTCTCACCTGATCTCCCCAGAATCACCTTCATGTAGTCTGGGTCATAGACTTGGAAAAGGACCTTGCTCCCCCATAGCCAACGAGGACAGGCACTCGGGAATTTCTCTGTTATTTTCAGAATCTGTTGCAGTTCCTGGTCCTTGTGGAACTGTCACAGAAGGAACAATGCTCAACAAATACATTGCTTTAAAAAAATTCATTTGTTTCTTTCATGAAATAGAGTAATAAAGACAGAACTCTCAACAGTGCCTTGACATTGTGATCCACTCCATGTTTGACCTAAGCCTGGATCTTGAACATGTATGCCTGGCATCTTCAAAAAGTTTCCTAAATATAAACCAGCACCTCACCATATGGCATTGCTTCACTGAGATCATCCCTTCCCCCACTGTCTGTCTGGTCCCAAATAGATACATTCTTTTTATGTTCAATTCCTTTGCAGAGAGGGTTTAAGGTTAAGATTTTCCAAGGGAGCGTAGTTCTGATCCATCAACAGACATTCAGTGCTCTGAACTGTTCGTGATGGTTGGAGCTCTTATCTTATCTTGCTGTCTCCCCAAAACTTTGACCTAAGATCAGATTCTTTATCTTTTTTAAAAATCTATGGGCCCAAGTTGGAACTGCCTTTAGGACCTTAACAAAAGTCATAGATGTTCAATAATGAACTCCATGTCTACAAAATTTTTCACAAACTTACATTAAAAATATGGGATAATCATTACTCCTAAATGTATGTTGAAGTTCTCATAATACCTCAGAATATAATTTTATTTGAAGATAGGGTATTAAGAGTGGTCATCAAGATGAACTGAGTTCATTGGGTGGGCTCTAATCAAATAGGATTGGTGTCTTTATGATTAGAGGAAATTCGAACACAGTGGCATGCATGAAGGGAGGACCATGGGGAAAGACAAAGGAAGAAAATGGTCATTAACAAGCCAAGGAGACAGGCCTGGAACACATGTTTCTCTTTGAGTCTAAAGAAGAAACCAACTTTGCCAACTCTTTACCTGGGACTTCCAGTCTCCAGATCTGTGAGACAACAATTTTCTGCTTAAGTCACCCAATCTGTAGTACTTTGTCATGGCAACCCAAGCTACCTAGTACAAAATACTGAAAGCAAGCCTATAGTTAGAAAGGAATTATTACTTTATCCTATTATAATGAAGAATGAAGAAATTAATATTAAGTGAAATGGCCAGGTAAATTACACTCAAACCGAACCCTACTGACCACATGTGTCCTATCCCTGCATTTCCATAGACTGTTTTTCTTTTTAAAAAATTTTCTGGGGAACCAGCAGTTAGTGTAATGGCTATGTCGCTGGACTCCCACGTAGTCGACCGCGGTTCGTGTCCCGGACCCGGTGGTTTAAAACTCACGCCGGGCGCGTGTGCGTGCGTGCCCAAGATCCCGAGAGGAGAATGGAGTAGAAGGGATTGCGGTGTGACCATCCCCCTGGGGGGTGATTTCTCGCTTTCTGTCTCTATGTCTTTCTCTGTCTGTCTGGCGAGCGCATGCGCCCTACAGTGAAAATCTCTCCAAAAAAAAAAAAAATTTTCTGAAGGGCACATGGTTTGACAGAGAGAGAGGGAGAAAGAGAGTGAGAAAGCCCCCCCAAGTGAGATATTCATGCTGCTATCCTTTCTCCTTTCTTTCTGCCTCCTTTCAGGAATTCAGTGCACACATACATGCACCCAGCATATTTTTCAAGCTGCTGGTCTGGGACTTGAACTACACAATCAGTCACATAGATTCCATAGTTTTAACCACCACACCACTAGATGGCCTTCCCTAGCTTCTTGATGTCTCTCTATTATCATATTTCAACTCATCATTAATATCTGTCTTCTGTGTATTCTTAGAATCCAAGATGGATCATGGCTCTTGGGAATCATACCTTATTTTTTATTTATTTATTTATTTATTTATTTATTTATTTATTTTTGGAGAGGTTTTCACCATAGGGCACGTGCACTCACCAGACAGACAGAGAGAGACATAGAAACAGAAAGTGAGAAATCACCCCCCGGGGGGATGGTCACGCCGCAATCCCTTCTCCTCCATTCTCCTCTCGGGATCTTGGGCACGCACACACACGTGCCCAGCATGAGTTTTAAGCCACCGGCTCCAGGATGCAAACCGCGGTCGACTAAGTGGGAGTCCAGCGACATAGCCATTACATTAACTGCTGGTTCTCATACCTTATTTTCAAAGAAATGAACAAGCGCATGAAGGAATGGATGAGTACATGAAGGAGAGGGAATGAGTGAGTCTTCATTAAGATTCTTATTGGAAGAGACAGATATGATAGTAATTTAACATAAGAAAAAGACAAAGAAAAAATAAGATGCCTAAGGAAATGGGCGTCCTGAATGCAGAAAAGGCAGAACCAGAGACTGAAGAGCTGTCAGACTACTGACTTGTCTCTTCATTTCTTCTGTAAATGCATTCATCCATGTAATGACTATTTTTCAAGGCCCTCCTGTGTACTAGGCACTTTTCTGAAAGAAGTTGGAATAGCCATGAATAAAAAGAAAATACCCTGCCTTCGTATAGCTAAGGTCCACGTGGTGGAGAAGGACAGTTCTACTCTCCAGCGCTGACACATTACCATTCCACCACTCATCAGGTATGATCAGAACTGCCATATTCTGGAGCAGCTAGTGGCATGGTGGTTACAATGACTAGATCCAACATGGCCAACTTTGCAATTTGAGTCCCAGACCCAGTGACTCGAAAACCACACTAAACGTGTGTGCATGTGTGCCCAAAATCCTGAGAGGAGAATGGAGAAGAAGAGATTATAGCATGGCCATCACTTCTCTGGGGTCATTTATAACTTTCCCTCTTTATCTGACAAGCACACATGCCATAGAAAAACAGCAGTTGGCCTAATGGCTATGTCACTGGACTCCCATGTAGTTGACAGCGGTTCAAGTTTCAGACCTGGTGGCTTAAACTCACACCAGGCACATGTGCATGCATGCCCAAGATCCCAGGAGGAGAGGGAATTGCGGCGTGATCATCCCTCCTGGGAGTTGATTTCTCACTTTCCATCTTTCTGTCTGTCTCTGTCTTTCTGGCGAGCACACACACCTTATAGCAAAAACCTCTCCAAAAAAAAAGAAAGAAAGAAAAAGAACAACAGCTATTTGAAACATAATAATTTTTCAAAAGAACTGCTCTATTCTGAGAACCTGATTGTAATAACATGGCCAAGGTGTCCACTTAGTCCAATCTGCTGTGGTTGGGGTTGAAGAGGGTTTTGAGGAGACTGCTCTTTTGAATGGGGAAGAGATCCCAGAACAGGTGACCTGGACAGGCATTTCACACTATTCCACTACAGTGAATGAGTGAATGCATGAATGCAGAGATGCCTGGATTGATTCATTTATTTGATTCTTATTTATTGAGCACTTCCTTTGTTACAATGTCCATCCTAGGGGCTGGAGACTCAGTAAACAGATAACACCTGCTGTCATGGCACTCAGATGCTAGTACAGGTGGGGACAGAAACCTCATTTAAGCTAAAATGTGTCCCACTTGAATTACTTGAGGATGTTCTGTGCTCCCAGGTCATGTCCATCACTGGGGCTTCCCTTCTTTGATCAAATGAGGGTTGGCTGGAGACTCTCTCTCCAGCTGCAGAAGTGTCCCCTAGGATCTCCTCAGGTCAGCCAAACAAGGGTTAGGATCTGTTTCAGCACTACAGGTTACCTCGTTCTTTTTTTTCTTCAACTGTTAGAGATCAGTAGTGTTTGCCAGAGAGAAGCACAGAGACAGAGAGAGAGGTGGAGAAAGCCCCTTAATGCAGCATGATCATCCTCAATCCCTTATCCATTTCTTCATCCTGTTAAAACTTGGAGCACACACCCTCGTGCACATGACACATTTTCCAAGCTGCCAAGCCCAGGATTCCAAAAGCAGTCAGCCATGTGGGATCCAGCTCCCTTTACCACTAGGCTATGGGGCTGGCTCCAACATGTTACCTCTCTGATCACATGGTACCTACTCTAGTCAGCTCTCTACAAATCCTGCTTGTAGGCAGGATCATCAGCTTTCTTTGGAAAGTCCTTGGGCTAACTCATATTCTCTTTACCCATTCTCCTCTCTAGGTACTTAAGTGCCCACTGGTTTACCAGGTTCTCAGTAAAACTATGGGGGCTGAGAGCTCTCCCTGAGCATATATGGTCAGAGCCAGCTAAACCCTTGTAGAGATGGCCCCAATGGTGGCAGCAGTGCTAACTAGGTGGGCAGCTACTCTTTTCCCTCCTTCCCATCACTCCACAAACCTTTTATGCCTGACTTTGTGCTTGGAACTGTGAACAGGGAAGAAATGATACGCTAGACTCCAAGTCTAGGATGTGTGACAGGAGGGTGCAAGAGACTCTTTTTAATGAGGACAGTGAAACATCAGCATTCCTCCCCTGAAGACATCAGCAGGCTGACCCATTCATTGGCACCTAGGACTGTTTGGTTTCAGCCCAGAAATCCAGAAATCCAGAAATCAACTCTCTGGTAATTGTCATATCTCCAGCAAATCAAGCCAGTTGATCCCCTAGACATGACATCATCTAACCTCCCCAGCAAGCTGACCTCTTTTCTATGGCCTGGCACCTTCTGAAATTCCAGTCTGTGGTCTCCAGTACCCATGAGCCTCACAGGACATGGATTCCATCAGACATGTGTCTACGTTACCAGGCAAGATTCAGCCAGGAAGAAAAAACAGTATCCAGTGACTGAGGCAGGGAAGCATCTAGAAATCTCAGTCTTGAGAACACCTGATACTGAAGGAGGTTACCAGCCTAGAGGCAATAGGACCCTGAAGGATAAAGCATTGCCCTCCAAAAGCAGAGCAATGTGCAGGCTGTGCAGACACAATCTCAGCTCAGCCTGAGCTTCCTCCTGACAGAGCTGAGTCACTGCAGGATGAGCTTCTGGTGAGGGAGTGGGCCCCCCATCACTGGGACAAGCCCAGACCTGGGAGGTAATTGGATATTCCTTGGGGACTACGTGTTGGACACACAGCAAACTCTGTCCGGTAGACTTGCTGAGCAGCCTCTGAGAGCACCAGTCCCCTGGCCCTCCCACTTCCCTGCCAGCTCATTCCTACCTGCTGTTTGTGTCCGAAGAACCAGTGAGAAGGAGGGGAAGGGAACTGCTGGAGAACTCGGAGCAGCCACTGCCTGTGCAGGTAGAGCTGGGCTGCCTTGAGCAGCAGCAGCAGCAGCAGAGTCAACAGAGAGGCCCCTTGGAGGAGCCCAGAGAGGCCACCCAGGAAAATGCTGGAACTCAGAAGAGAAACGCTCATGGTGCAGGGAAGGGCTCCTGAGCCACTGACTGACCCTGACTGTCACTGACCACCCTGAAAGCTGCCCAGTGCTGGAGGATTGTCCACCCACCAGCAGTTGGGAGGGAGGGCAGAGCTTGGAGCTCAGTGTACAGGGGTGATTGACCCCAGAGATCCACTTTGGCAAACAGTAAGAGGAAAAAGCATTATCAGTGGACAGTGGTGATGACCTTGCACATGCCCTCATTCCTCTCCATGTTACTCACAAACACTTCATGAGCACCTACTATGTGCCAGGCAGTGCACCATGTGGCAGCACATAACTGTAGGAAGAGCAGACACGATCCCCAACAACAAGGAATTCACAGCCTCGTTGACCAAATGGTCAGTAGGTGTGGTTCATTTTATTATTACCCGAGAAACTGAACACTGAAAGATAAAGTGATGTGTTCAGAGACAGACAGCCATTGAGAAGTTGAGGAATTAGGACCCTTCTATGTGGAACTCCTAAATTGCCCTTCCCAACTGCTTCTGAAATGTTCTAAACTGGTCCCATCCTCTGCTCAGTTACAGCCTGGATGCCTGTGCTGGTGGATGGAGCCCAGGACTTAAACTCAGGAGGCTCGAGCCTCAGGCTCACTGCACAGGTAGCCAGCAGCTCATGCCCTCTGAGCCTCAGCTTCTTCTTATATTAGGTGGGATAATAATTCCTCTCCTCAGTATGTCATAGGTCTCTCATTCTTTCACTGATTCATTCCTTTGGTGAATATTTCTTGAACTTACAGTCTAGTGGGTAAAGGCAGAAAACTAAATAAACACAATTGATACAATAAGACTTTTGCACCTAGGGGAGAAGAAAGCTAAAACAAATGAGCAAACCAAAAAGAGAAGAGAATCCTTGGGTCTTGAAAAGTATCCTTGGGTCTTGAAGGATGAACTAGAGTTCACCAGTTAGAGATTGGAATGGGCACAAGCAAAGTCTTAGAGATCACACGTGAAGGAAGATGGGATTGGTCCGTGTTCATCATCAAGTTCCCACCCTCACTCTTTTCATTATTATCCCCTTAAGGTCAAATCTAATGCTCAGAATTCAGAAAGAAAAAGATGTTTCAGAAAGAATCTCTCAATATCCAGACCTCCCAAAGTCTGAATACCCTCCTGTCCTGCTACCTCTCCCACCTGATGTCTTACAACACTTCCCTCTTCTGCCTTACCTGCTGACCAGAGTCATTACACAACCCATAGTCCCAGAGTTTCATTCTTTTAACCTAAATCCTGGGTCCTGTCCAAACCACAGGCAGGTTGACGTGCAACTACCCACACCCCATTCCACTCAACTTTACCCTAGTTCTGTGGTTAATCTTCACCCCTACATCCACCACTAGGGACCCTGGGCCTCCGACTCTCCTACATTAGCTCAGCACCAACTTTTCAGCCACAGTTTTAGGGGAAGTAGCAGGGACAGCTGTGCAGTGTGTCTTTGATTTCTGTTTGTGATTGTTTCCCTCCTCGAGTCCTCAGTTTCTCCTATATAGTTGTGCTCCTAATGCCGTAATCACCAGCCTTCAGTGAACCTATGTTCTAGGCACCATAGACTATACCACAACAACCCTACGAAACAGTTTTATAGAAGATCTTATAATGTGGATGGAAATGTAAGGCACAAAGAGGTTCATTGTCCACAGTACTCCAGCTGGTGAGGGGTACAGCCAAATTTCAACCCAGCCATGCCGGCTCTAGAGACTTTGCAGTTAATTATTCATGTAAAGAACATGGGACCAGCAGTTAGCGTAATGGCTATGTCGCTGGACTCCCATGTAGTCAACCGCGGACCCGGTGGCTTAAAACTCACGCCGGGCGTGTGTGCGTGCGTGCCCAAGATCCTGAGAGGAGAATGGAGGAGAAGGGATTGCAGCGTGGCCATCCCCCCTGGGGGGTGATTTCTCACTTTCTGTCTCTCTGTCTCTCTCTCTGTCTGTCTGGCGAGCGCACGCGCCCTATAGCAAAAACCTCTCAAAAAAAAAGAACATGATGACTCGGTTGTGTTTCCAGTCGATCTGGCAGTCCCCAAACATTCCAGAAAATATTTCTTGCTTGCTGGATTTTACCAGCTTCTCCAGGTAGGATGAAGATGGGTTAGATTCTCAAGTGGACACATTGGCATATAGGCAAATGCAAACCTGTTCATCTGGGGCAGCTCCTGTGAGGAAGCATAGGAAGGAAGGCTAGATGTAGCACAGTCAGTAAAAATGTTGTTTCTGGGGAAGTTTTACTAATATGAATAAAGCTGATTCTAAAATAATAAAAGAATACAAACCCGTATGTAGGGTATGAGTTGAACTCTTAGAAAAATTGTGCATGGCATCATCATGCCTTATTAACAGGTAAATATCTTTCCCATTCATTTGGTACCGAAACACCTGTAATAGTGACTCCAGCTAGGCATGCTATGTCGTTATGACCCACATCACACAGCTCAGAGGATGGTGCTGATTGATGGTGTCCAGTAAATACCTACTGGCTTGATGAATTAATGGGTGAGAGAGGGAATGAGTAAATTTTGAACAGTTTAGTTCATTATTGTGAATTGGCTAAGTTCAGTTTGGGGTACCTTTTTTTTAAAAGGAAAGTATCATTTTTATTCCTGGATGTTTGCTGGCTCAGTTGCAGACAGTAATAAGCCAGAGGAGGGGTCAGTCCACTCCTAGGGTGACCACTTGGAGCACCCAGTCATCAGGTACATTACTCCATACACTTATGTTGTGCATTTGGATCCATCTGAGTTTGATTTGAAGTGCTATTGCATACATTTTCTCCTCTATCATCTTATTCTGCTAATGCATTGCCAAAGAAATACCCAAGACTGGGTAATTTGTGTAAATACATTATTATTTTTTTCTCATGATTTTGGTGGCTAGAAACCCAAAGTTAGAGTAGAATGGCAGAGGGCAGAATTTTGAGCCAAGCATGGTGTGTATGTAAATGAGCCTCCATCTGCATCATTTCCTCTTCTTATAAACCTATGAATTGTGGGGTCCTTGCCCTAACCACTCAATCACTAATCTCCTCCCAAAGGCCCCCCTCCTTTCAACAATGATTGAACTACAATCTCACCCTCTAAATCCTGTTGCAATGGCACAACACATGAATTCTGGGGAGACATATTCATTTACAAAAGGTTGAATCTCCTAGTTAGACACCTTTAAAATGTATAGTCTTAGAAGCCAGCAGGAGCGTGCGGGGTTGTGTCGCACTGAACCTAATAGAAACTCTCCGGAGGATTCCTCAGTCGCCATGTCAACCAACAATGACGTTTCTCTCTCTTCATATGATGAAAATCAGGGATCCAAACTCATCCGAAAAGCTAAAAAGGCACCATTTGTCCCCATTGGAATGGCAGGTTTTGCAGCAATCGTTGCATATGGACTATACAAACTGAAGAGCTGGGGAAATACCAAAATGTCCATCCACCTGATCCACATGTGCGTGGCAGCCCAAGGCATTATGGTGGGAGCAATGACTGTTGGTATGGGCTACTCCTTGTATCGGGAATACTGGGCAAAGCCTAAACCTTAGAAGAGGAGATGGCGTCTTGGTCTGGTCAGATGTGCTTGCTTTAGTTAGACATGTTCGTGTCAAAAACAAATCGTTCGATGGGTTCGGATAAGGTATTTTGAATACTGGTTTCCTATCTCACAGCCTTGATTTGCCTGGTGGCCAAAATAATTAGTGACTACTAGTTCACTAGCTAGGTCATTCAGGAAAGTCAAGTTAACACAAAAGAAATCTGTCACCCAAATGTACTCTGTAGTGTTAAAATCTCCACCTTCTCAAACCCTGATGATGAAACTAGTTCTAAAGAAGACCACAGACTAACCTGGACGTACTCCCAGCTCGGTGCAGAATACCTCCTGCTTTGGGTGTTATGTAGTAGTCTCGTTTACCCCAGTTAATTCAACACTTTTCTGTGTGCCTTGGGACTGGTTGAGTACTTCAGGTTTTAGGGCTGCTTGGCTCGTGGAGAACTGTTTTGAAAAAGTGCATGGACTATAATCTGTAAAGCCTTTTTTAACTGACATGTATGTGTGTTTAAACCAAACCTAGAAAGCTTGCAGTGGGGCCGCAGAGTAGTATTTATTTCATAATCACACTTGTAAACATTGAGAATAAGTTAGTTACGGATTCCCGTTTAGCTCTTTTGTAATTGCAGAATTATATTTTTGCCGCTGTTAGATTAGAATAATTTTTAAATGTCATGTTGGAATAGAAATATGTATTTTAAGTATTTAAACAAAGCTAAACGGAGAACACTTTTTAAATGTGTGCAGTAGATTTCTTTTCTCTGTAAAACTAAACAGATTATAGATAATGAAAGTGATTAATGATTTATAAGCAAGCTGGTTGGTCTGACATTATATACAAACTTTGATATACTACAGAATGCTTTATTGCACTTATAAAATTCTCTTGTCTAATCTGAATTTACATACCATGGTGACAACATGGTGTATATATATATATTGTTATTAAAGTAAGTGAATATAAAAAATAAAATAAAATATATAGTCTTAATGTGATATTATCCACATCCCATACAATTCATTTACTTACCACTCAATGGTTTGATATATTACATTATTAATTTTTTTGGAGAAGTTTTTGCTATAGGGCACATGTGCTCACTAGAAAGACAGAGAGAGACAGAGAGACAGAAAGCAAACCCCAGTCAGAATGTGTAAGATTAAAAATACAAAAAATGATAAGTGTTGGCAGGGGTGTGGTGAAAGGGGAACTCTCTTACACTGCTGGTGGGAATGTAAATTAGTCCAACCACTGTGGAGAACAATTTGGAGATTCCTCAAAGGTCTACAAATAAAACTACCATATGATCCAGCAATCCCATTCCTTGGAATCTACCCAAAGGATAGAAGAATCCTTCATTAGAAAAGTGCTTGCACATCGATGTTTATTGCGGCACTTTTCACAATTGCTAAGACATGGAACCAACCCAAATGCCCCCATATGGATGAATGGATTGAAAAACTGTGACACATATACTCTGTGGAAT